CAGCTCTCTTGTCCATGTTTGGACCTGTAATGAGGTCAGGAGTTGATGAGCCCTGGAAGAATCCAAACTGGATGTCATGGAGCAGGTTATTGCTAAGAGGGTGCTGATTGAAAACACCATATCATAGAATCTTGACGGTGTGAAAGCAGGCCATTCAGCCCACTGAATCTACATTAACCCTCTGAAGGACATCCCCCCCCAGACCTACCCCCTACCCTATAACCCTGCATTCCTCATGGCCAATCTGTATAACCTGCACATCTTTGGGCTGAAGAAACCCAGGCAGACATGGGACAGATGTGCAAACTCCACACAGTTGCCCAAAGGTGGAATCGAACCCGGGTCCCTGGTGCTGTGCGGCAGCAGTGCTAACCACTGAGCCACCATGCTGCCCCATGGTTGATGACACATTCCACCTCTTTACTGATGGTCAAGAGTAGACTGATGGGACAGTAAGTGGCCAAGTTGGATTACTCCTGCTTTTTGTTTACAGGCCATAGCTGGGCAATTTTCCACATTGGCAGGTACATTCCACTCTTGTAACAGTGCTGGAAGAGCTTAGTCAGGGGAGTAGCAAGTTCTGGAGCAGTGCTATTGCCAGAATGTTGTCAGGGCCCATAGCCTTCGCAGTATCGCTTGTCTCCAACCATTTCTTAAAATCACATGAAGTGAATAGGAATGGCTGAGGACTGCTGGATGAGGCCAAGATGGCTCATCCACTTGACACTTCTGGCCGAAGATTGCTGCAAATGTTTCAGCCTTATCTTTTGTATTGATACGTTGGTCTCTTCAATCATGGAGGATAGAGATATTTGTGGAGCCTTCTCCTGTGAGTAGTTTAATTGTCCCCCATCATTCATGACTGGATGTGGCAGGATGCAGATCTTAATTTGATTCTTTGATTGTGGAATCACTTAGCTCTGCCTAGCATCTATTGCTTATGCTGCTTGACATGCAAATAGACCTATTTGAGAGCTTGGTTGAATCAGGTTGACATCTCATTTTTACATATGCCCAGTACTGCTCCTGGTATGCTTTCCTGTACTCTCCTTGAACCATGGTTGATCCCTGGGCTTTGTGGTAACGGTTGAATGGGGGATATGGCAGGCAAGAGGCTACAATTGCTCGAGTACAATTCTGCTGATGATCGTCCATAGTGCCTAATGGATGCCTAAACCTGAGTTGCTAGATCTGTTTGAAATCTGTCCCATTTATCAAGATAATAGTGCCACACAACATGATGGAGAGTATTCTCATTATGAAGGCAGAACTTCATCTCTATGAGGACTCAGCAGGGGTCACTCTTACCAATATTGTCGTGGACAGATGCATCTGCAGGGAGCAAACTGGTAAGGATGACATCAAACATGTAGTTCCCTCTTGTACATACCCTCACCACCTGCTGCAGACCCAATCAAGCTGCTATGTCTTTTAGGACCTGACCAGCTCAATCAGTACTGTTGCTGCTGAATCACTCTTGGTGGTAGATATTTAAATACCCCATACAGAGTAGATATTGCACCCTTGCCACCCTCAGTGTTTCCTCCAAATGTTATTCAGCATAGAGGAACTCTGATTCATCAACTGAGGAGGACAGCAGATGGTAATCAGCAGCAGGTTTTCTTGCCCATGTTTAATCCAAGGCAGTGGAGACTTAATTGGATCCAGAGTCAATGTTGAGAAGTCTAAGGGCCACTCCTATAAACTACTGTGCCACCATCTCTGCTGGGTCTGTCCTGCCAGTGGGACAGGGATGATGATGATGGTTTCTGGGACATTGTTAAAGATGACTCAGTATGACTTAAAGGCATTAGCTTAATTTGGCTGTGAGGCAGCACTCCCACTTTTGGCACTAGCCCCCACTTTGCAGAGTCGACAGGCTGGTTTCTGCCATTGTTGTTTCTAGTGCCTGGTTCAATGCCAGGTGGACGATCCAGTTTCATTTCCTTGTTGAGACTTCATAGTGATTGATACAATCTGAGCGGCTTGCGTGGCCATTTCACAGGGCAGTTTAGCATCAACGTCATTTGCTGTGGGTCTGAAGTCACAAGTAGGTTAGACTAGGTGAGGATGATAGATTTCCTTCACTGAAGGACATTAGTGAGCCAGGTGGGTTTTTTTCCAACAATTTGGCAAAGATTTCACGTTCATTAGTAGATTCTTAACTCCAGGTATTTTTTAAAAAATTGAATTCAAATTCCACCATCGGTCATGGCGAGATTCAAAATTGTGTCCCCAGAACTCAGCTGAGTTTCTGGATTAATAGTCCAGCGCTAATACCACTGGACCATTGCATCTCCTAATTTAAGTTCTACAGTTGCTTTTCTAGCTGACAGTAGTTGAGACATCAAGCTACTCAATGAAGAGACTTCCATATCATATACCTATGAGCCATCTATCACATCCTCAAGATCTCCCAACCAATTTGTAGTACTTTTACCATGTAAGTAAATATCATAATAACGTTTTTTTTTCTTTGCAGTGTCAGTTATTTGAATGCTGTTTTAGCCATCAAGAGAAGTCTGCTGCTGTTCAGACAATGCCACAGGATTTGCTTTTTTCCACTAGAGACATAGATGGCCTCGGTTCTATATTTAACATGTTAGATGGTACCTCAGTACTGCAGTGAAGTGAAGCTGTGCTGAAACCCCTTGAGTGAGATTTGAACATAATTTTCTCAATCAAAACTACTACCACTAAGTCAGATACCATCTGATAAAGAGCTGGCAGCTCTGCCAGTTTTTAGATATTTTTCAATCAACCTGTCAGCCAACTCTGAAACAGGTGAGACTTGAACCTCTGTTCTCTGGTGTGGAGATAGGAATACCACACAAGTATCACAAGAGCCCTTCTGCTAGAGCTCTTTTCATTCTTTCATAGTTGTCTACCCAACAGTAATTACACATAATTGAGAAGCCTGAGTTTCGTTAGCAACTCCTTTGTCTGTCCAAATATTTTTCTCTCTCTTTGGGCTCTATCTTATCATTTACTCCCTACCCCACCCACCTCCCTATTTTCTGCATATAAACTGACATTTTCCCAGCCACCATCAGTTCTGAGGAAGGGTCACCAGACCCGAAACATTAACTCTGTTTTCTCCTCCACAGATGCTGCCAGACCTGCTGAGCTTTTCCAGCAACTTTGTTTTTGTGTCTGTGATTGAGAAGCCTGAGGCTATCTAAAATGAGAAATATCTTATATTCATTTGAGTTATCTTGTATCTAATAATTCCCACTTTTTTTTAAAGCTGTAAATGGTTATATTTCCACTTAGCCAAATATAAAGCTGTCTTCCACACCTGCTGCAGCATTCAAATACAAGGGCAGATGTGTCTTGCTGCAAATGTATAGAACCTTGATGAGCTCACACCTGAAGTATTGTGCACAGTTTTTGGTCTCCTTATCTGAGGAAGAATGTTCAGACTGTTGAGGGAGTGCAATTGAGACTTACCAGACTGATTTTTGGGAGCACAGGACTGATGTATGAAGATCCTGGATTGGTTAGGATAGACAAGGTAAACATAGAAAAGATGTTCCTGATGACTGGGGAAGTCCAGAACCAGGGTCACAGTCTAAGGATATAACATACGCCATTTAGGATTGAGATGAGGACATGGTGAGCCTGAGGAATTATCTGCCACAGAAAGCAGCTGAAGCCAAAGCATTGAAGGTTTTCAAGGAGTTTTAGTCCCGATAACTATAAGAATCAAAGGGTATGAGAATAAAGCAGGTACAGAATACTGAGTACTGATCATACTGAATGGCAATGCAATCTTGGAGGGTCAAATAACCTACTCCTGTTCCTATTTTTCAATGGCCATTCTCCTGGTCACCTGTTATAATAGTTGAATAAATGAAAATGAATTTAATCACTGGAGTTAGTAAGTCTAAATAAGCTGTTTGAATCAGGTTTGATTGCTAAATGCATTAAGGGTTTGACCATCTAAATCAGAATTCTGAAAGATATTGGAGAGGAAAACAGATTTGAAGTTTGTCAGTAACAATGAAGGAATACACACTTCTGAACTACTGTTTACCCATTTCTCCCTCTAAAATTGCCATCAGTCCATTCTTTTGCCACTGACTGCATCCACGTATACATAAGCAGTACACACGAATTACATTCTTTTAGGTCTTTGAGGTGTCTCGACGTTAGATACAAGGGCCAACAGTTAAATGTAATATTTTCAGAATTGAAGTATGAATGGAGGGAACAAAAAGTTAGCCATAGTTGTGAAAATGTCTTGAATATTGTGTCGCATAAGCCCCTAAGGAAACTCAATTTTGGTGTATTTTACTGGCAGTTCAACTTTCTAACATCCAAACCAGAGCCTAGTACAAATAAAAACCATCAAACCATATTTCGGCTGAATGCCCTTGGCCAAGTTCAGCAGTAGCAGATAGAAGTCCTGGCCCATTCAGCCAAACTAAGAAAAGCTATACTCACGACTCTTAATTTTTTTTTAATTCAACCTATTTTTTCTAAATCAACCTGCTCAGAGATGTTATTACACATCTTGAACCCAGGTCTTTCGGTTCAGGGGTAGGGACACTATCATTGCACCACAACAGGGCCCCCCTGCTCACAACTCTAAATGGCATCAAAAAAGGGAAATCAGTTGTTTCAAATAGCTCTGAATTGACACTCCTATCTCTCCTGTCACAATAATTCAAGAAAGCAGGCTACCAGGATACATTGAAAATTAAAATGGAAGGCAAATCCTAAAAACAATGCAGTGCTAATAGCAGACATCTTATTACATGTTGATTGTGTTTAAAATACCTTGTAAAGTCAATGATTTGTAACCTTAATACCTCTTCTGATGAGTTTTAGATGTAATTAACAGGAGAGAAATACACAAAATGTCTCTAGTTTCGAATCAAATGGTTGATACACAAACTGGAAAACAAGTCCATAATCAATTAAGTAACAAGCATGAACTTTCCTCATCTAGATGAGCAAAATTAAATTGTTAGCACAAATAATTTCAATGATCCTGCTTTTTGTCTTCCAATGAACCTTTATGGACAAAACCTGCTTCACATTTAAAGAAAAAAAACTTTCATACAAAGGCATTTTTTTTAAAAAAATACATTTGCCATTACATACTAATTTTACTAGCTGCTGTTTTTGAGAATAAGGAAATGTGTTGACTTTTATGTACCAATATTCATAAACAATATTTCATCTCATTATACAGATGTATATATTATGCATTATATTCATAAACATCAATAATTTAACCATCCCCCTAGGGAAAAAAGACTAGTAAACAAAAAAGGAATATTGAGGGAGAAAGCAATATTACAAGATGTCCCTGAAATTCATTCTGCCACTAAAGGTCAAATGTAGTCATTGAGAATTGATCATAGCTTTTGGCCAACACTTCAATTAGTCTGACCCTTTTGTGTTGTAATTTTATGTACTCAATAATAAATGAGAGAAGATTCATTTTGAACTTTCAGATGAAACACTATTAACTAAGGAATATTTTCATTAACACGACACTTGAAATCAAAGCCATTTAAAGTAGAATAATGTACAGTCATCTGTCCTTCATTCTCCAGTGACATTTGAACTGGAACACAAATGTACAAAATATTTTGTAGACAAGTCTTAAGTGATTCTGTAATATCATTAGAAACCACATTTCCGATACTTTTGCAATGGTTCTCATGGTGTGCACTAGTTTATCTGCGCCATCACTGTAACAAATGTAGACTTTGCTTTTGAATCATAAGCAAAACATCAGACATCAACTGCTGGGAATATGACAAGGAGAACACATTTTACATCAGCTCCTTTTATAGGTTAATTACGTTGCACCTTCATACTGATATAAACCAGTTTCATTGGTTCCACAGAAAATCTGTGGAGCAACTCCAACATGAAGGTGCTTAATTGAATGTAGCCCTTCCAGTAAGTAGCCTCACTTCAACCAGTGCAAGTTAAACAACCTGGGAGATTTTTTTTTAAAATATAACTAGAGCAAGTAGCAATTTTGTCAGCTTTGTGTCAACATTAAAATTTAACTTGCCTTTCAACACAGCTCTCCAAAGTGTTGCTAATGCTGATCACAGGGTAAACAGAGAATGTTGATGGAATTCTAGTTCACTAGCTCTGCACTACTGTGTACAGGTACTGAACTTGAAATACAACAACACTCCTAAAACAACGTAATATTCACGGGCACATTACTGATCAAAAATCTCCTTAAATGGAAGAATGGAATACTTAGCACGACTAGTGTTACATTTAAATTTGCCCCAAGTTCTATGGTTTTGTTTTCTTCCTCAAGACATTGAATGAACACCACAAAGAAATTTCTTTAAAAAGCGATATGGTTTCTCGTTGATTAAATAAATGAACCAGGGATTAAAATCTTTTAAAAGTGTTTAAGAATAGTAACATTGGAGATGAAAACGTTCCCATATGCCATCCGTTTTGCACTTGTGTAATTGGATGCATCCTGTATAAATTCACATTTGCAGATAACTTTCAGACTCTAATCCTCCCAAATCCCTTGCTTCTCTGCATAGGTATGAAAGATTCAATTTCTTTTTAAAGTTTTAAGAAAATCACTTTTTTTGTCCCTAGTTACTTTAGTCTATTTTTGGTTTTCTGTAATTATACTTGGCTGCAAAACTATAATGATTATATTCTCATCCAGGTTAAGACTTCCCAATGCATAAAGAAATGAATACAAGCCATAAATATATTGAGTGTTAACCAAATGTAAACAATACATTAAAAACTTTCTAACAAGTGAATAGGAAATAAATTAAAACAGCTTTTCCATTTTCTCCACGGTTTTGTTCACAAAGCCAAAATTTTGTGCCGTGAGGCAAGAGGCATAGATCACTAAATGAATTTCACGGCCAGTATTCCCAGTGTTAAAGGATATTAAAATGAATAGTTATGTAAAAGAATATTCCATCACATTATGTAATGGGACATTGAGATGAGAAGTTTTCCAGATAAGACAGGATGTCTCTACCATGAGCGTCATCATGAATATTGTGAAATCAGAAGTACAGGATCTTGGCACATCAAAGACTCCTACGCATTCCATTTGAACACTTCGTGACAAGATATGAAATTGCAAGAAATAAAATCTACATTCCTATAGATGCACAACAAATTTGTTGCACCTCAAATTCTGTGCACCTATCTTCTGGTGATAGATGAAAAATTTAGAATATGGTATTGCTACTTCTGCTGAGGCTTCAGAAGCGGTGGAGAATGAATGATATTTAAAAGAGAAAGTGTCAAGGAAAATAGGTGGATGATATAATATGGAAGAAATTTCAAGCCACTTCAGCAAGTGAATAAACCCAAATGTCAGTGTGTAATAGCAGTCAACGGTCACTTATGGTACAATTTTAAAGCGATGAAAAGGGATGGGGAGGTGACATAAAAATAAGCATAAACTGTAACTTTATAAATAGTTAAAAATCCAATTAAGATGTATGTACAATAGAGTTGCTTATACACAAATAGTGAGGAAATAGCTAGTGCTGCTGAGAACAAACTTGCACTATAAAAGTGTTTGTTCCATTATAATATATAAATAGAAAGAGTGTGAACTCTAGTGTGTAAATATAAATAAAAACAGGAAAAACGATGATACCATTTTTGGGAGATTTTTGTTCAGAAAATAAGTTATTTTCATCTACCAAAAAGTAATTGACTGAAATGCCAAGCCTGTTTTCTCCCTCTCTTGCCCCTCAAATACTGCCTGACCTAAATAATCAATGTATTTTCTGATTTTATTTTAGTTTCCAACAGCTACTGTATTGTGCTTTTTAAAATATTTTTCCACCTAAATAACCGTTTGTTATAGTACTGTGAGCTTTCCCAGCCCCAGATTCTTGTTATTAAGCATCCTTAAGCATGTCTGCATACATTGGAAATTGTATTGAATTTTAATGTGATATGAACTTCATTCTGCACCTGCTCTACTTGAAAACCAGGATTCATAGGGCATGGAGGCCAGTTCATACAACATGCTTCTCTTCCAAGGATGCAATGCACCTGAAGAAGTGACACTATATCAAATATATCAAGGTCACCTTAACTTTACCAAATGTTCTATTTTATCCCCTTAACAGGATAACCTGATAGTTACAAATAGTGCATTTCAATTTTGGATTGAAGATACATAGGAAGTGAGTACTTACAACAAAGTAACTGTCAAGGTATCATTAAATAATCCTTCCTGCTGGATTAAGAAATGTACTCCAAGAGATTAGTCTTCCAATGAGATTCAGTTATATAACCTAACAATCTATATCTCATTGACTCATTATTTCTGTCTCATAAAGTTTAAACACAAGATATCACACTTTTACTATTTGAGAATATTAACTAATTGTTAACTGCAAATTTCTGTCTACATTAACAGCAACATTTAATACAATGCAACTATGCTCTATGGAGAAGGCCAAGGGCGCAGACAGTTCTATTGTACCATTAGGAAATCCAATTAACAGTTCTGCATATATTTGAAGACAAATTAGATTTTCCGATTAATCACATATGAAAAACAAGGAGCAAATGCAATGTCAAATTTTCCCCAAAGGACTATGGTTTAATTTAGGAGCAACATCACTGAATAGATTGATAGAATGTAACTGTAACAGGTGAAAGTGCTTTTTATGCAGATATTGTGCACAAAAAGAACCCCCAGGGCAAAGTGCAACTGGTAGTTTGAAAATACTCCAAAAGACACCAACTAGTAAACTAGCACCTAGTACATGCCAAATCTCCCACTAATTTCAAAACTTAAGGTAGCTGTAACATCAGAACATACAGACCCAACAATTTACTTGTGATGGTTAATTAATACAACATCTAAATATTTTCATACATGCAGAACCGTTAATAATGCAACTCTATGGTATACAGTATTTGGAACTCCTTAGGCACAGAAGATAATCATGGTGATCCCTTATAGACATTATTTTCAATATAGGTATACACAGTTGATCACATTCACACGATGTTCCTTCGGTACTGGCAGTCAAGTGCAGAAATATCACTTTATTGTTCAAGTAACATAGGGACAACTTAAGATGAGCATTCTGCACAATCTTTTTGTTTGGGTGCTGCATCTTCTGAAGCGGTTTCACTGCTTGTTCCTGCATCCCCATTTAAGATGGCATCTAGAACTGGTTTCTGCTCTGTCACTATTGTGAAAAAAGTCAGTGTTAATATCTTATGTGAAAATGCATGCAACTGGTATAGACATTTTAGGATTTATATTAGTGACATTTTTTCACTCCGCAAAAAAAAAGTTAGAGTATTATTTAATACCATAAAGCAAATTTTCAGGAATACTCAAGTGGTTAAGTTGGCACAATAAACACTTGCTAGCAGCTGGCAACAATCATAAAAATACAGACCTGCCCTATCACATGGGAAATATGCAGATATTCAGCAGGGAGAAACAGAAACTAATTTCTAAAATTAGAACCTCTAGTGAAAGAGAAGAAATAATATTCACCCAACAATTAGGCTGCTAAGGGCAGCACCTAATTCAGTGCACAGATCAAAAAAATCTTAGGTCTTTGCTGAAGTACATATCAGCTGCACAATAAAATGCCCATGATGGCCCCAATGCACCAGGATACAAAGGATAAAAATCAACCAGACTTTTTTTTGTGTGTTTAATATATATATATATATATATAGAAAAGGTAAAATATAGCTTAATTGTTGACAGATACGGCAACTCGTTGATACTCAAATCTTGCTTCACTTGGAGATTATCCATTTGGACAAAATACTGGAACGTAGCAAGTTCCAGAACACAGCATAATCTCTATTCAATCTAAAAGTATGGTCATCAGCATTGGCTCAGTAATAGAACTCTTATCTCTGAACCCAGAAAGTCATGGATTTGGGTTCAAGTCCCAATTCGGAGATTGGAACATATAACTCACATAAAAACCTGAGATGGCACACCGAGAATTCAGCCAGCTTACAGGCAGAAGAGGCACTATTTGAAGCGAAAGCAAGGCATTCTCTCAGTCTCTTGGCCAAAATATATTCCTTGACCAACATGACTCAAACAGATCATCTAGTTATTATCACAAAGTTGTTTATATGTCCTTGCTGAGCACAAATTGGTGTCAAATTTCTCCGTATTACAACCAATGCTGTCTAAGTGTTGTAAAGTATTTGAAAATTGGAAAAATTCTGTGCATAGTATTTAAATGATACTTAAGTGCCTTAAGATGTTTAGTCACTCTTAGTAAACATTTTCAAATATCTACCTGCTAGGGGTTTGGCATCACCACTGCCATCATTTCTGCCAACAGCTGCATTTCTGCTTTCTTCCAGTTCATCAAGATACAAGCGATATCGATGCCCAGTCTCATCTTCATAATCAACATTTTCATCATCAGAGTCTATCTCTGGAGCAACATACACCACTTCAAACTCAATCTCTCCTCTCTTTAAAACAAAAAGTAGCTTTAGTTTTAGCCCTGAAATAAGTGGTTCTACAATGTACAAAAATAAAATTACTGGCATTGCTGGAAATCTCAAATAAAAACACAAAACATTGGAAACACTCAGCCAGTCAAACAGAATCAATAGTCAGGAAGGTAGCAATTACATTTTCCGATCTTTGACTGATTGTCAGAACCCCCACATTATACTTCAGAAAATGCCTAGGTATAAAGTTAATTTCTTCATATGAGAAATAAACTTCAACATATATAAAACTGTGAAGTAGTGCAGTTGGCTGAAGAATAAGGCGACCTACTCCTTTGAAAATATGTTTAAACAAGGTAGATTAACATCAAGATCTTGGGGTACAAATACATAAATCATTGGAAGGAGCAACACAATTCATTTAGAGAAAAAAATCACAGGCTTATTTCTAATGGTACTGAAGGGCAGATAAGTCATGTTGAACTCCAACTTTACCTTTTTTTAATCTATTCACAGGATGCAGGCATTGCTGGCAAGGCCATGATTTTTTTTTTTGCTGAATGACAATTCTGGATAGAACATTGATTGGGCCAAAAAGGGGACTGTGAGCAGTTCTACTCTTCATTTTATAAAAAGGACATATGGGCATGGAAGGGAGATGTAAAACAATTCACCAGGTTATTGGATTTATAAGGAAATGTTCTACAAGCCAAGACCACATTTCGTAAAACCAAGATTGTGGTGTGACCTAATACAGGTTTTTAATATTATGAAAGGCTTTGACAGTATTGACATATAGACAAAGCATTTTCATTGCAGTTGAAAATCAGTGGTGGGGTTCATAAAGTAGAAACTACTAAATCAGTTGTGAAATTGAGGAAAATCTCTTCACACTTTGGCAGTTCCATATTCTAACCAAGGAAAAAAGAACAGTTGAGGTGAATAGCACTAAAATGCATTCAAGGAGAGCCTTGATACCCAGACAAGGGATGAAGGAATAGGAAGATATGCTGATCTTACACAAGGAGGTCTGTATGGAGCAGAAATATCAACATCGATCTATTGGGTTGAATGGCATGTTTTTGTGCTGTTACTACTTTGAAATGTTCTATTTATGCTTTCAGAATACACTTAAATGTTCTACAGTTAAATGTTGAAAAAAGGTTATTGTAACTTTCTATTGTTGATAAAGCAGAATTATTGAATTATATGAAAAAGCAGAGTATTCTTAAATTTGCAAGATGGTATAAATGAACTATAAATTTATAAAGTTCCTCATGTAAACACGTAAATAACTTTTTGTCAAGATAAGTGCAAGTCAAAATGCAGGAAATACATGGTAGGTCCAGTGGCAAATGTTCAGCAAGAAAACACTAAAATTACACATGTTCCTCGATAGTAGGTCAGTTTAATTACCTGCTGGGAGAGAATAGTAACAGCTTCTTTGTGTTTGGCATCTCTCAGATCAATTCCATTAACTGCTAGTATGGCATCTCCAACATGCAGGCCATCACATCGCTCAGCAGGTTGACCTGGGTGGATTTCTGATATTAGAATTGGGACTCCATGCTCCTTGCCACCCTGTTTTGTATTTTAAAAGCAGTAACATTTAGTTAACATCTGGACAATGCACTTTATATTTTTAATCCCATAAATTATCCCATTATATGGTATGCTACAAGTTGTTACAACACCTCCTGATAGAGCAGTAGTGTTTAAATAAGTAAAGTCTACTATAAAGTTTTAACCAATAAATAATGTAACTCCTCTCTTATTAAAGAGTAAAAAAAACTGACATGGTGACTCAATGTTATGGGAATTTTCTTAACATGCATATAAAAATCTCAATGCATGCATACTATTAGGAAATATAATATAGATCAGAGGGAATACTAAACTTGTAAAAATTTACCTCACTGTCACCATAAAGCGACATTTTACACTTTTGATTGAAGATGGAATTATAGACTGCACATTAATATTCTCAGGGCAGCATTAAAGTTCCTTTACTGAGGTGCAACTTCCTCCAGACAACTATTTGTAATTTTGTCAGTTTTGTCTTTGGCTCCCAGTCACATCGTGTTGCCATTCCTCAAGGCTTATTCAATCTCCCAAACTGCTACTTTGAAACTAGTCCAAGAGGTGCAAACTAATCCAAGAGATGCATCCTACTTAAACCCAAACTGAGATTTATTTATGATTGCCAATATTTTTTCAACCTCAGAATTTTCCATGTCTTTGTTCCCAAATTTCTGCTACTGTTAACCCCAAGTCCATATTTTGTCACTCCAAGACACAATTTCTTGAATACCTTGAGCTGACCTCCTTTTCCTTTCAAACTACTTATCTAGATTGCAAAGTACAACTTGCCTGTTTTCTCCTTCACTGCCCAACAATTTCATCTTCTGCAAACTTCACCAACTTCTCATACCCAAGCGGATTTATTCAGCCTTGTTTAAATCCTTTCATGCGTTCACCTACCATATCTCACCAGTATTACCAGCTGAGTATCTACATGCACCACTCATTCTTCAAACATAGAGTACAATTAAAGTGAGAAATTAATTGTTGTCTGTTTATTTAGCTACAATGAAATTCTGATTCCATGTCAAAACTCCTAAATTCATCCCCATGCTACTTCCAAACACTTAATTTCAATCTTTTTCTTGAAATTTGCCTTTGCTTCCTGACCACACACTCTGATGTTGCTTTTTATTTAGTGTACATTCTATAAATTGCTGAGATTTTGTTCTCTATTTGTATGTTTAATGGATGTATATTCTTGTTATATCCAGGTGACAATCTGATACTAAATTAAACATCAACTGGCAAATCACAACATTAGTTTTTCAATGCAACTTTACTTCTTAACTAGACAATATCAGTTGTTAGCTTGAATGAAATGAAAGGTCAGATTATATTCACAAATTCAACCATAATTCATTTGTTTCAATATACACCAATATAGGTGCGTCTAATCTGTTTAACTTTGTGTACATCATGGAACATTATAAACCTCAAACATTTAAGTAAATATTCTCATTAATTTGCTTATATCTCAATCAATAGATAACAGATACATGCTATTTATCAATCAAGAAAGCAACAAGCCCAAAATAGTCAATTACAAACTTTCTGCCCAGGAGAGATTTGAAAAAGATAAATCAGGGAGTCTACAGGAAACCAAGTAGCCTACTTTCCATGACACAGAATCTAGAGTGCTTGACTCATTTGTCCCATAGCGGTGAGAGTTTGTGTGTAGAGGTGGTTAAGTGACGTCTCCTACATTACTTGCCACAATCTACACAGGCCCATGGATCTAAAACACTTGGGACAAAAAAATCCCAGTAAATCTTGAGACACTAGATGTTACTGCTCATAGAGCTACCGTATATTGCAAGATCGAGGCGGCACAGTGGCTCAGCGATTAGCACTGTTGCTTCACAGCGCCAGGGACCCGGGTTCAATTCCACCCTCGGGTGACTGAGTGTGGAGTTTGCACGTTCTCCCTGTGTCTGCGTGGGTTTCCTCCGGGTACCCCGGTTTCCTCCCACAATCCAAAGATGTGCAGGCTAGGTGAATTGGCCATGCTAAATTGCCCATAGTGTTCAGGGATGTGTAGATTAGGTGGGTTATAGGGGGATGGGTCTGGATGGGATGCTCTGAGGGTCGGTGTGGATTTGTTGGACAGATGGGCCTGTTCCCACACTGAGGGGATTCTATGATCTATGATCAAAGATATGCTGCATATCATTTTTGTATCATAGAAATCAATGAAAAATTTGTCCATTACAGGACCTATCATTTAAACTTCCTAAATTAAGACAAATGTGAAGCTCCTGCATCTGGTCTTCAGCAACAAAAACAGCCTCCCTTGGTTCTGTCCAAACTGGTGTATTCCTGTTCTAGATAGCTATGTGAATCTCAGTAAGTAGATACTAAAGCAGACTTACTGTAATTGATATGCCAAGTCCTTCATGATCCTCTTTGACTAACAGGACTTTCCGAATTGGCCCAACACCCTGGGACTTCCTTATGATATTTGGATCCTATTTGAGGAAGGAAAAGTGGTGAATAATTTTGACAAATGAAAATGATGACAAACTCTTAATGAGCAGTAGAAAACTGTGTTTGCCAAAAAAAAAGTATAAATTGGAGAACATGAAATGAAATGATTTAATGAGATAATTAAATAACAGCTGAAGCATTGACAACACAAGACTCTAGTGAAACCTGACCTTGGGCACACAAGAATAAATTAGCAACTCCAATCAAATATTCTGATTTGGTAATTATTGAGAATATGAAGTTAAATCTAAGAGGCAAAATGTGTAACAACGTTATACTTTCAGGATTTTTATTATTCAAAAATTTCAGCATTGGGAGAACTGTGTACAGAGATGATATATATTATGATAATGCCTGGTACAATTCTATAAAATTCCTTCTATATTCTCTTGAAGGCCTTAACATCGTTCTTAAAATGTGATGCTCAGAATCGAATACAAAGGTGCTTTTGAATGGATTGTTTTCAAATATGCATGTCAATAATTATTTGAGTAGATGAGATTCCTCAGAGATGATATAGAATTTGCAGGAGCCCATGGCCAACTTACAAAAACTGATTGATCACTAATACTGTTTCCAACTTCATTTACATATAGGTACTGTCATTTTTCTTCAAAGGGCTACAATTTTGCTGACAGGCAGCTTTATTGCATTTTATCAAATGTCTACTGGAAATATATTTATGTCACATTAACTATATCATCCTTAAGAATTCTTTTGTTACTTCATTGAAAAACACATTATTTAAATGTATGCAACTTATTTTCCTTAATTTTGTCAATTTTCTCCCCAGTTTATTGTTTCTACAAGCTTTCCCACCAATGAGTTAAGCTAACTGGTGTGCAGTTGCTAGTCTTATCCTTACACACCTATTCAAAAACAATGTAACATTTAGAATTCTCCAGTGTCTCGTATCCATTTTGTACCTAAGAAGGATTAGAAGGTTATGGGCAGTGCGTTCTCTATTCTCACACTTAATTCCTTCTGTATCCACGGATGCAGCTGATCAAGTGCCGGTGCCATATCAACTTTAAGAATATCCAGACAACCTAATACTTTTTGATCAAATCTGAGCCTATCCAATGGCTGAACTACCTCTTCTATGACTAAGAATTTAGCAGCATCTTTTTCTTTGTTTTTAAAAAATAGTTGCAAAATAGTTACTTAGCATCATGTCCTCTGGGTTCATATATAAAATCTCAAACTGCACAACTCCAGGGGATTTTCATCGTTTGAAAAGTTTTTAAACTTACACACAAGTAAATAATATCTTTCATTCAAACAGTAAAAATTTGAATTTTACGTACGTGCCCAGGCGGCATGGGCAGAGGTCGTTTTGGGTCATTGCGCCCTCGACATGCCCTAATAACAGTTTTATGTCTGTGAAGATGTATTTCTGCTTCCAACTGGTTCCAGAGTTTGTCGTGAGCAGGTCCTTTCATGTCTCGACCCAACAGCTGGATTTGTTGCACTCTGCACAAAGTATTAAACATTAGAAAGATGGATGTTTTTGCCCTTACATGCGTCAACAAAAAGCAGAGGCTGCTTGCTTGCTAAACCAATGCATGACCCAACTGAAGTTCCTTTTCAACAAAATGGGAAAATCAAATTTGCCATGAAATAAAAATAAAAAATGCAGAAAATGTACAGTGGACATTTAAGAAAAAGAAACAGGCAAGTGACTCGGGTGCAACCATTTCACCTTTAGAAAGTGAATATTGTCTTGGTCAACATTTTCAGCACCATGAATTTATCTAAATTTCATAGACTTTTGTGGTTACAGAAGGTGAATCATTTCCATATTTCCAAGGAAAATTAGGGATATGAAATGAATGCTGGCCTTAGGTGGTTTCTCCTCATAGGAGAGCCTAGGGCTCAAGGGCATAATCTCAGAATAAAGTTTTTCTATCAGTGGATATTGAATTTTTGGAATTCTTTACCAGAGAGAGCTGTACAGCCTGGATCATTAAGCATACTCAAGACCGTGACAGATTTTTAATCAGTGAGGGAATCAAGCGTAATGGGGAAAAGGCAGGAAAATGGAGCTGATGGTTATCAGATCATCCATGATCCTACTGAATAGCAGCCCATCTCGTCTGCTCTGCATGGCCTGCTTCTTTTCCTTTGTCTTATGGTGTTATATTTCTCACACCCAGACTTCACGCTGGACTCTACATTAAATTCACCACATGGATTAACATGTAGAATATATAGAATATGCTAACTAAGATAACCTGAAACTATATATAAAATAAAGATTATGCTCATCAAATGCATCTATGTAAAGTGTACGAATTCCAATTCCCTTCAACTCAGGCTGTGACAATTTAATTTCCTTTTAATACCTTAAAATGCTACCTTATATGTGCACTACTATTGCAAATGGTAAAGAAATGTGATTTTATTTATTGGTTATCACAAGTCATAAGTTATCACAACCGAGATATTAAAGACAAGTTATTTATGTCTGAAAAGACCTAGCTCGCTTTCTGTTAGAGATACAGGAATATACATCAAGAGTGACTCCTCACCTGCCTGCCAGTTCTTTATCAAGGTACTTAGCAGCCAGCCTTGCACCATATACCTCAGCTTGTAGAACTGCTATATGGCGACGCAATGCTTCATTCTCTTTTCGCAGCAGTTTCACATCAGCTTCCAGCTTTGCTTCCTTCACTTTTTCTTTTTTATTGGATTCTAATTCTTTCTCCTTTTCAGAAAAATAGACACATTGGTTACCAATACACATAATTATCGTAAGCATCACAAGTCTAGTGGCTGTTATGGCAATCACAAGCTGCTCATAAGATGAAGAATATTCACTGCACTTAGAATAATTTATAAAGACTCCCTTAATTCTGATAAATGGCATAAACTAATAAGTCATTTCTAGAACATCTATTATACCTAGGTAAAAAGTTCTGAAAAATGTATAAATCTATGCTTTTATTAAAATACCCAAAATTAAAAATCTTCAATTAACTGAAGTTAGCAGAAATGGTCAATTTACATAGCTTTAGCAAATCATTCTTAAAAGCTGCTTTAATGTATCATTATTTTTACTGCTGTGAGCAACAATCATAGTTTGACATTTATGAAAGGGCACATTAAGTATTGTACTCTATGCCAACAGTTAATCCAGCACTCCAGTTCAAAAATATATTACGCTGCATGACTTATAATGAAAGAATAAGATTGGTGGAAAGCAGTGACGGTTGTCAGTGAATCGACAGAAAAATAGTCACACCAGTGCACTCACTTACCAGCTCATCCACTGAAAGGACAGACTTGGGACAGGAAAGAAAATGGTATTAGGAAGACAAGGGACATTTTAGTACATTTAAAAAAGTTAAAACACTCACAGGAAAACAAAGGAGTAATCGGTGGATTTTGTCCAAAAGCAAAGCAGAGGTTATATTTCAATATTAACACACAAACTCACAAATGAAGCATAGGAGTAGGTCATTTGGTACCTTGAGCCTGCTCCACCATTTGATAAGACCATGGCCTCTGCTTTCCCTTATAAATTTTTACTCTTGTCAGTCAAGAATCTAACTTGGATTTATCTAACGTTACAGATACACAACGGCCCTCATTCCACTACTCTCTGGGCTAAGAAGAATTCCACAGGCTGACATTCCTCCTCTATCCTCAATGAATGACCCCTTATTTTAAACTGTGTAGACTTGTTCCTCTGTCCCCAACAACAGAACATCCCTTCAGCATCCACCTTATCAAGACCCCTCAGCTCTTAAGATCACCTTTCATTCTTCAAAAATCCAACATATGCATGCACAACCTGTAGAAACTTAACTTGTAAGACAATCATTTCATCCCTGGCAACCAAGGGAACCTTCTCTATGCTGCTTCTAATGCAATTATATTCTATTTTAAAAATAGATGATCCAAACTATACACAGTGCTCGAGATGTGGTCTCATCCATACGCTTACATTCCATCCCCCTTGCAACAAATAAAAATATCCCGTTTGTCTTCCTAATCACTTGCTGTATCTCCATACATTATTGTGATTCCTGTACCAAAACAGCCAAATCTTTATGTACATAAGAGTTCTGCAATGGACTGCAGCGGTTGAAGAAGGCAGCTCAGCTTCTTGAAGGCAACTAAGGACGGGCAATAAGTGATGCCCACATCTCATTAATGAATTTTAGTAACCCTCGCTCCATTTAATTAATACACGCCTTCCGTAGTCCGCGTACCGAAGTGGAAAGGTTCACAATTTCTTACATTATATGCCACCTCACAAATTTCTGCCAATTCACTTAATCTATTTTTGCCTTATGTTCTTTTCACAACTTACTCTTCTTTGCGTCATCAAGTTTAGCAACTGGTGCAGTGGCAATGTCCTTAATTCTGGGCCAGAAGGCCTGGATTCAAGTCCTACCTGCTCCAGAGGCACGGTGGCTCAGTGGTTAGCACTGCTGCCGCACAGCGCCAGGGACCCGGGTTCCTGTTTCCACACTGTAGGGATTCTATGATCTATGATCTACGATCTACGATAATATGACTGAAAAGGTTGATAAAAAGTATCTATATCCAAGTCATCAATGGCTTTATGATTACATTAGTGAATAAAGCAACACTTAGAATAAAACAATGAAACACCAAAATAAACTCTGCTTATTGCAACATAAAGTGAAGAATTATTTGCATTGACTGCTGCTTAGAGAAAACCTGAAAGACTACAAAGTTGCAGTTCACCTCCAATTTGCACAAGGAAGCATGCCACCATACAACAATTTAAATATTATTGACCTGTCTTTCAAGCCTCAGGAAACTCAGCTAATGAATGGAGGTTAGGACTGCTTCCTGGAAAAAACAAATATATTTACAGTACAGTTATAGCTAGATGAAGCAGGAGTGTTTCCTTTCAGTCTACCAACTTTACCTATCCCAGCTCACTATCAGAATAAGCCTAATACCACCCATCCATTCAAATACCTCCTCCCAGGATTGGGGATCAGAACCCTTCTCAACCAATTAGTGACCATCCATTAAGTCCAGATCCCAACCCACACTTCAATGAATATAACTGCAGTCTCATGGTCTATTCCTGGAGTTGTGGTCTCTTCAAGAGCATTTTCTGCTCATCAGAGAAACAAGCCTGCCAATCAGGCCAGTTTCTAGGGAAGAACCCTGGCTGAAATCAAAAATGCACAATGTGGAGTTAAAACCCTACAGCGTGTGGAGAACCTAGAATTCTAGAAGAAAGCTGCTACCTACCCATCTATTCCCATCACAAGATCCTCCTCTACAAATAACAGGGCCACTGACAGAGTGTTTTGAGAGACAGTCTATAAAATATCTAGTATATCCAAATAACTGCATCTTAAAAGTCTATAGCATTGAACTTCAATTTTATTATATTGTTTTTAATGGATGGAAAATCGCAGCAAGTTTCAAGTGGTTACATCTGATTTCAGAATCACCTTTTGTATCTCTTGGCTGAGAACTGCTTTATGAAGAATATTCAGCAGGTTAGAGTTTCAGCATCCTTTGGAGTTATTCATCCAGCATAAACCAGCTTTCTGAAGTTCCAAAGTTTTAGTGAATAATACACAACATGACAAAGGACTGTGCTATGCCAGTGAAAAGTTGCTCAGGTTTAGTGATTGAGTTGTCCTGAATTAGCTGATCTCAGCAGTCAGCAGTAGAGTACAGTAACTGATCTCAATGTACCTAAGCTACCTGGGAACGTAGGCTAGAGCAGGAGGAACAGCAAACAAATTTTCATTTCTGGTTATTATTCATCAGTCTTTCATTGAATATATGCATGCTCCAGTTTCCATGAGAGTTTGGAGGTATCATTATTTTCTATGGCTAAAAATAAAAATTTGATGAGAGCAAAATATCAAAAAAATGGAATAAACTTCCAAGAAACTAGTCTACAGAAGTAGTGAATGTTTCTAGGGGAAGCAGACTTTTTTTTTTAAAGAGTCTTTTGTATTTTGAACTGTGGCTTGACAGGCTCAAGAAAATTGATTTGAAAAAAAAAATTAACCTTGAAATAATTCATTCTAAATAAGGCTGAACAAAACAGTTTTCATTGTCTGAGGATTAAAGTAGGTAGCTTTGTTACTAGAACATACTAGTTTAGCCTTGATTGAGCTGGAGTCAACATTCTGCCCAGTCTTAGCATGCAGCTGCAGTTGGACAGCATGAAGCTGGAGAAGTTGATCATGTACTTCTTTCTCTAACACAACTTTCTCAGCTTGGCTGTCGATCAGCTCCGATTTCAAATCCAGCAGCTGAGCCTACAGAGGAAAGTGAAAAGCAAATGGTTAACAGTTCAAAACATTATGAGTTTTGTAATGATCACATTTTCATTTTGCACAAGGGTTTAAACTTTATTTGGTTGTAATGAATATACACTATTAAGTTCAATGTCATTCTATCGCCAAATATATGAAACCAGATATATCCAAGTGTTGTCTTCAGAAGTAAATTTTCCATAGCACACTAGGAATTCAACAAATTTAAACAAGGCAAACATTCCAGAAAAAAATACACTTGTACTCAATTTGCCCAAGATACACTTCAGTAACAAAAATGACACTCAATGTATGAAGTTCATTTTATGATTTAGTGTAATTGAACATACATTTCTGGCTTACAGCCTTACTTCATCATTGAATCAATACATTTGAAGGCAAGAAGAAAATTAATGTTCTACAACAGTGGTTTTCAATTGGTGCACTGCAGCAACCGTAAGGTGAGAAGTATGCCAAGAAATTCTCAAGAAGCAGCGTTGCTTTAACTAAAGTTCGAGGCAGTGTGCGTGTTTCCAAACTGCTCCGGAGCCTTGGTGCCGATTATTGAAGGCTGTGTTTGCTGACACCAGCCACCACTATCTAAAATACATGCGCAAGCCTCCAGAGCCTTGGTTGTGTAGACTTCCCATAACACACATGTGGTGTGAAAAAAGTGGGCGTGCTGTGGAATGGTTGTCTCATTGAAGTGTGCCTTGATACTGAAAATTTGGAAATGACTTCTAGACTCTAAGCAATCATATCACAGCAGCATTAAGCATGCAAAACAACCATGGGTAAAAAAATTATATCCACCAAAATACTTTTCTTACAGCTTAAACAGTAACCTGAAAATAAATAATTTCTACAATGTGCAGACCATACTATAATGTACGGTAGAACCTGTAACACGCCCATATTTGACATTCCAGGAACTTGCCAAACAAGTCACCACTGTATCTGATTCTCAGAATTAATTGCACTACTATGTCCTGTAGATTCTCATAAATTGTGTTAGCTATTTAACACTTGTGCCAATGTGTATATTGGAACATGTTTCTTAACATGACATAGTCATTAATTTTTAAACTCGTCTTTCACTAACTTTCAGCCTGATAATTTTCTGCACTACAGGCATTATCTTGGTATTAAAATATATAAAAGCTGCAACAAAACCCAATATTCCCATCAAAAGATTAAACACTTAACACAGAGACTGAATAAACATCAATAAGTGTTCAATAAATGTCTTAAATAATAACATTAGCTGAAAAGGAAGAAGCGCCAAATCTTTCTCTTTCTCAAAATACTTAGCAATTAACGCGTAAAGATGCAATGGTCTCTGCCTCAACCACTGCTTGTGGCAAAGTACTCAATGCTCGATCAACTTAGTGAACAAACAGATTACTCAAATATTGCTCCTCAATTAATTAGATTTAAATCAACCACATCACTGGCGCAGTAACCAAAGAAAATAGGCCTGTAAATTTATCCATGCGGCTTGATGAAAAATCATTTTGGCTACAATCAGATAGCCAGGAGTGGAATTAAGCTAGGTAGTACCATGAAGATGTTCAAAGGAGAAGAGATTTTGAGGAGGATGGCCTACTCAATTGCGTCAAAACCCACAAGGAAGGGTAATGTACTGCAAGCATCAGGGCTCTGTCTTTGGTTTGGGTGCTTCCTGTGCTCTGCAGAGACAGAAACTGGACTCAAGTTATTTAAACATTAATTTATGGAAAAGCTAGAGAAAACATTTTACCTGACATGTAGCCCTTAAAAATAAACAGATATTCTTTGACGTGTGCCAATGTCTTACATATAAACAAAAAGTACAGCTGATCATCTTATGTATTTCGCCAAGACACAGTGGTCACCAGATTACTTGTAAATTTTCTTCTCCAGGCATGGATAATGTTGGCAAAGCTTCCTTCTTGAAGTCTGATTTTATTTTTCTTAACCATTACTGAAAGGTGAGCATCACTGCCAGCACCAGTATTTACATCCCATCTCTAATTAACCTGAAGGAGGTGATGGAGAAATATTTCCTTATGGTGTGTGGCAGTCAGTATTGTATAGGTATGCCAAGTGCTGTTAAGTAGGAGTTCCAGAATTTTGATCCCACAATAATGAAAGAACAACAATATATTTCTAAGTCAGAGCAATCTGGTACTTGGAGGAGAGCTTGCAGATAGTGATAGTGATGTGCTTGCTGCCTTTTAGTTTGCAGGTGATAGAGATCGCAGGTTTGGCAGTGCTATTTAAGGAGCCTTAGTAATCTACTGCAAAGCATCTTGCAGATGGTGCACACTGCAATCAGGATGCACAGTGCTGGAGGGAGTGAACGTTTAAGCTGGAGGAAGGGGCTGCCAATCAAGCAATCTGCTTTGTGCTGCCTTGTGTATGTAGATGGTATTGCATAAGATAATAGTTCTGAAGGGTTAATGTTCTGTTACACTGCCTCAGTCCACTCTACTGATGTCACACAGTCTGCTATTGAAGAAAAAGTGGGAGCAGATGTATTTCCCTCAAGGCTAATAGTTATGCTTCAAACACAGGATGTACTTGTTACTATCAATCAATTAATCTTCTTGTTACCTCAGAACAGTGTCTGTTGTGTAGAAGCTCAGTGTATCCATGTACTCTACCGTTAATCTAAATTGGCTCAAGACAAAATAAAGACAAAGGTAAGCTGGTAGCTACCATTACCACAGACAACTACCACTTCAAAAGGACAACAGATACATGGGAACACCACCAGCTGCAAGTTTCACACAAAGCCACTCATCACCCAGACTTGGAAACATAGTACTGATCGTTCAGTGTCTTTGGGTCAAAATCCTGGAAGTACCTCCCTAACAGTATTTTGGGTCTACAGAGTGCAGCACTTCAAGAAGGCAGCTCACCACTACCTTCTCAAGTGTAACTTCAGACGAGCAATGAATGCTGGCCCAGAAAGTAATGCCCACATCCCATGAACGAAAAATTTAAAAGATACGTGGCTGGGCCAGTTAGATTCCTAGTTAATGGTGGCGACAGGACCCATGAAGGATTCAGCAATGGCAATCACACAGAATGTCAAGAGGACATAGTTACACGCTCTTTTGTTGGAGATGGTCATTAATTTGTATATGTGTATGCAAGATATAGCCTGCCCTTTATCAGCCAAAGCCTACATGTTGCTCCGAACCTACTGCGTGCAAGTACAGATTGCTTCAATGTCTGACGAATTGTGAATTAAATTGAAAATTGCACAATTATTAACAACCATCTCCACTATCGATCTTAAGATAATGTGGAGGTGTCAGTTTTGGGCTGGGGTGGACAAAGTCAGAAGTCACACGATACCAGGTTATAGTCCAACAGGTTTATTTGAAACCATAACTTTCAGAGCCTTGCTCCTTCTTCAGATGGTAGTGAGAGAGGTGGTATCAGACATAGAATTTAAAAGTAAAAGATCAAAGGGTCACACCACTTACGAGATAACACAGTGTGGAGCTGGAGGAACACAGCAGACCAGGCAGCATCAGAGGAGCAGGAAAGCTGACGTTTCGGGTCGGGACCCTTCTTCAGAAATGGGGGAAGTGTATTAAACAAACCTGAAGGTTTTAATTGATTAATATGTATATGTAAATCCCACTTCACCTGAAGGGGCTGCACTCCGAAAGCTTGTGATTTCAAATAAACCTGTTGGACTACAACCTGGTGTCGTGTGATATCTGATCTTAAAATGGACAGAAGGTTTTTGACGGAGTTCCTGATGATGGTTGAGGCTAGGACACTGCTCCGAGAAATGCCTTGGATGATGTCCTGGCTGTTAGATGATTATCTTCCAATTAGCATAGCATCCTGAACTGAAAGAATCACTGGACTCAAAGTGTTAACTCCATTTTTCTCTCCACAATACAGAAACAGAAGAAATAAACGTCCAAATGCTTGCTCAGAAGTAGTTTGTACAGAGAGGTCAATATACAAGTATCGTGCGAAAATGTTAAAAAAAAAACCATTAAAATTCTTGTCCAATTGTGATGATTCATGTAAAATTTGGTTACTGCGCCAGTGATGTGGTTGATTTAAATCTAATTAATTGAGGAGCAATATTTGAGTAATCTCTTTGTTCACTAAGTTGATCGAGCATTGAGTACTTTGCCACAAGCAGTGGTTGAGGCAGAGACCATTGCATCTTTATGGATTCATGGACTCTGGGGTGGTTCCCGCAGATTGGAAAACAGCCAATGTGACGCCACTGTTTAAAAAAGGAAGTAGACAAAAAGCAGGTAACTATAGGCCAGTTAGCTTAACTTCGGCAGTGGGGAAAATGCTTGAATCTATCATTAAGGAAGAAATAGCAAGACATCTGGATATAAATTGTCCCATTGGGAACACCCAGCATGGGTTCATGAAGGGTAGGTCATGTTTAACTAACTTGGTGGAATTCTTTGAGGACATTACTTGCATGGTGGACAATGGGGAACCTATGGATGTGATGTATCTGGATTTCCAGAAGGCAATTGACAAGGTGCCACACCAAAGGCTGCTACATAAGATAAAGTTGCACAGTATTACAGGTAATATATTGGCATGGATAGAGGATTGGTTGACCAGTAGAAAGCAAACAGTAGGGGTAAATGGGTGTTTTTCTGGTTGGCGGTCAATGGCTAGTGGTGTGCCTCAGGGATCAGTGTTGGGACCGCAATTGTTTACAATTTACATAGATGATTTGGAGTTGGGGACTAAGTGTGGTGTGTCAAAATTCGCATACGACACTAAGATGAGTGGTAGAGCAAAGTGCGCAGAAGACACTGAAAGTCTGCAGAGGGATACAGATAGTCTAAGTGAGTGGGCAAAGGTCTGGCAGATGGAGTACAATGTTGATAAGTGTGAGGTCATCCATTTTGGTAGGAATAACAGCAAAGTGGACTATGTTTTAAATGGTAAAAAATTGCAGCACGCTGCTGTGCAGAGGGACTTGGTGTCCTTGCGCATGAATCGCTAAAAGTAGGATT